TGTGATAGTACGTACCTCCTCTCCTACTACTTACTTATTGTATATATATATATATATATATATATATATATAGACTGGTGTGCTGAGTGTGAAATTTTTTCACCAATGCTTAGAGGGCAGAAAAAAAAATTGAGGTAGCTTTGTGTGAGAGAGTTAAGTACCTATCGCAAATACATTTTCAGTGTAAAAAATGCTAATGCTGGGATCCCAGATGGAAGAGTTCTGTGAAAGAATTAGGGCAATTTTTTTTATATGTTTGTCTTGAAAAGCCAATAACTCACTTAGATGAAATTTTAATTCATTCCATAAACACTTATATTGCAATTTAGGTGGCTTTATAAGTACAATAAGCTTTAGTCATTGTTAATATTCATACATTTTAAATGTGGTTTTAAATGGGGGATTTTTTTTTTATGGCTACCATTTTGTTTCATCATGATTCCTACTATTAAGTACTATCATACTTATTGACAAATTTAATATATGTTTGTGCATGTAATTAAGGTGCAATGAGTTTAAAATATCAGTGTCTAAGTAAAGGAATTCAGGTTTTAACGTATTTACAAATGATACAAAATGGAGTATGAATTAAATTTTGCTAATGATGTAAATGAGTAGAAAACATCACAGAATAAAAAGGGTTAAAACGGGGGTGAATATTCTTCAAAAAGAATTGGAGATTTTTTCCCCATAATTTCAATTAAGGCTTCTAAATGTCTTCCTTAATTTTTAACATTTCCTACTGGGAACTCTTCAGTAACAAATCCTAAGAGTCGACATACAATTTATTTTTTTCTTCTGATCTTCCTTCGCAATGTTTTCCATTTTTCCCTTTCTCCATTTCCATGACCCCAAACTCTTCCAATATTTTCAAAATTATTCCTGTATCTTTTGGACATAGGAATATTCAGAAGAATATTTATCCTTGGGTAGAAACTACCTTTACCTTCTATAGGATACATAATTTGTACTGTGGTTATGTACTGCATTTGAAATTATAATTTGTGATTGATAGCTGTTGGGCACAACACTAACAGCCCATTGTGTAGCTTGTGTTTAACATAAATAGAAACCAAAATAACCTCATTAATTATCTTAAACTTTAATTCTGTAATAAAATGTTTAGAGCTTGAAAAAATAACAATAGGTTTTAATTTCATAGTTAAGATGCTTTTTTTAAATGTTATTGTGTGAGAAAATTATTTTGATAGTTTTTTGTTCTATTTCAGCAATATTTTAATGGCCATTTGTTGTAGTAACGTAATCTGAGTTTAGGTGTTTCAGAAAAGTCTGAAGTGAACATTGTACAATTAGTTTATTACAAGTTACAGCTTTTACAGTAAGTAAGATTTGTTTTTAGAACAGATACTTCCTGTAAAAGCTGTAACTTGTAATAAACTCTTACTTACTTAAACAGTAAGTAAACTCAAAATGAAACTATTAATTGTAAAATAAGGCTATTCATTGCAGTATGCCATGCCAGGTGTAATTTACTTGATTTAATGTATATTCAAACCCACGTTTTATAAAATTACAATCTACATCTGTTTTCACATGCAGCCAAAAAGTATGCAGCACAGGTAAGCCTTAGGAATATCTCATCATAGTTGCTTGTTTTAAGTAATTTTGGAGGAAACTAAACACATTGGCTCTTCACCTTGAGACAAGTCTGATGAAGTTCCACCCAAGCTACTGAAACGTTGACTTGTTCCAGGATAACACTGCTCAGTGAGAAATACTTCAGTTATAGTTGAAATTAAAACATTATTATATTTGTACGCGATATATGTGATGCAATATATTTGGTTGCTTAGGACAAAAAATTGTAGAATGTTGCATTAAAAATGTATATTGTTTTAAAGACTAGTAATTATCATGTGTTGTTTTTGTCACAGAAAAATTAGATGTTTTGTCATGGCTCCATCTTTTGTTTTTTTCCTAACTGAAGGTAGAGATCTCTTTGTATACATTTATAAATGTATAGCTAAATGCATGAATATACTGTAGTTGGACGTCAGTGATCAGTCTTTATTTCAGATGATCATTAACCATTGTGTTGCATTGGAAGAATAAAATTTTCACTAAAAAAAAAAAGACATAACTAGAACCATAATTACACCCTTTAAAATAAGCCCAAACTTTCTCAGATATTGCTGTTAAATGACTTTTTCAGGATATTTTCTAGTTTTCATTACTCTAAGTGATGTGATGCAGAAGACATTTGTTCAAGTTGTTGAAGAGTTTAGAATTTCAGTATTAACAATAAATTCAAGAAGCTCATTATTTTGATGGTTTTTTATCTTCAGAACAATGTTTCAGTGTTCTTTTCGGAGATCGTTTTAAAGAACTCCATCTGGACTTTAGTAATTTGATTGTTTTACAGTTTCTTCGTAAATCCCTCATTTTTCCTTCCTTCTCTGCATGCACATCAGTTATATATTCATTTAGGACACGTGAAGTTATGTTGTAATTGCCAATGTAGGATCTACTTGAATGATGGTTAATTGTAAAATGGTCATGTTGCAGGATGATCAAAATATTTTGTAAAAATTGAAAGTGCAAACATGTTTTATATAATGTGGACAAATTGTTATTCAGATTTATTGACTTACTGAGATGTAAAAATGCCTTAAGTTTAAGAATATTATTTTTCTTCAGTTTTGGTTAGCTTGTATGAAGAACCAGAGAAACCAGAAGATGCCTTAAAGTATCCTTTTAAACTATTTAATATACCAATTTATTCATGTTGTTTGTGTCATTTATGATTGATCCAGGTTGATTTTTATAAATGCGTATATTAGTAGTTACACTTTGAAATTCACAAAATAAATATTTTTGCTAGAAAAATAAATACTTCCTGTTTATAAGTGTAGTACGAGTAGTAATAATTTCATATGATTTGGTAACCATTATTTGCTAAGCATCTAAAGATTCTTGTAATATTGGAGAATTTTTGTAGTGCTATAAATTTATGTTCATTGAGATCTTTATTCATAGTAAACCAATGTGCAAGTCTTTATAGGTTGAAGTTTTAGTCACATCTACTGTTATCATAATAAGAAAATATTTAGGAAAGTCTTCCAAAGAAAAATGAGAAACAGATTATTGAATACGTGTATATTGTGATTGATGGTTTCAATGCTTTTGTACTTTGTGGCTAAACTATATCCTGTAATATAACACTGCTCCCCACCACCAGATAGCCCATTGTGTAACTTTGTGCTTAACAAGAATGTAACACCTGTGAAGAGACTTTGCAAGATAAACTGATTATCTTGTTAATTAATGTATCTCCCATGGATATATGAAATAATAGATTTAACATTTGAGTAGTTAGTTGATGTAAGTAGTTCAAGGATATGCTGTGCATCTAAAGTTATGTTTTGTAATACAGCACCTGTGTTTTGAGAGATACAAAGTGTAGCTAGGTTATGTTTTGTAATGCAGCACCTGTTTTTTGAGAGATAAGTAGTGTAGCTAAGTAAAGTTTTGTAATAAATCACCTATTTTTTGAGAGGTAAGGAGTGTAGCTAAGTAAAGTTTTGTAATACATCACCTATTTTTTGAGAGGTAAGGAGTGTAACTAAGTTATGTTTTGTAATACAGCACCTGTTTTGTGAGAGATACGAAATGTAGCTGAATTATGTTTTATAATACAGCATCTGTTTTGTTGAAGGATATGCAGTGTAGCTAAGTTATGTTTTGTAATACAACACCTGTTTATTGAGAGGTAAGGAGTGTAGCTAAGTTATATTTTGTAATACAGCACCTGTTTTTTGAGAGATAAGAAGCGTAGCCAAGTAATATAGCCACTGTTTTGTTGAAGAATATGCAGTGTAGTCAGATTACGTTCCTTAATAAAACAATTGAGGTATTTTAAAGAAAAGCTAAGTGTTGCTTCACCTGATGTACTAGAAAAGGAGTCAATAGAAAGAGAATTAGCCACAACAAATCAGCAACTTGAAGATGCCCGGAGGGAAATAGAAGAACTTAAACTGAAGGTAATATACTATTTGATAATGTATGAAGACACGCTAAGTTTTATGGTGTAAAATTAACAAATTTTTGTGTAATTACTGATTTTTTAAACAGCAATACTGAAATCTGCACGAGCAATCTGAAGAACAGAATTTTCCAATTGATCTTAAAATGTAAAGAAAAAATACTGAAAACTTAAAATCAGTCTAAATTCATAAGGAACTCTAAGAAGTGTTTTATATTTAAGTTTCAATTTTATGGAAAATTCAATAGTTTTCTTGCTGCCCATTACAGGTTTCATAGTTTTACAGAATATCAAAACCTCTTTAAAAGTATCAATCTAATCTCTTTAAACTAATTATTTAATTAAGGTAATAAAGATTCTCTATAATATTACAACTACCATTAGTTTTACCTCGTTACTGTAGTGTATAAAATAACATTACTTCATCAGTCATATTATTTTGTCCTAATCACTTTCTCGAATGTTATTATGTATACTATGAAGATATTATTATGTTTTAAAAATTTGAGTGCGTACACAGTTCTAGGCATATATAGTTTTAACAAGGCAGGTTGTCCAAAAAAAATTGGCTTATATCCTTTCACTGTAGTTGCCTGTTCTGGATCTTACTGTGTCCAAGTGGTAGAGCTGGAATGATTTAATTAATTACCTACAAGCAGTGATTACATCGATTAGTTAACTAATCAATCAATTGAAGTGTTTCTGATTATTCCAACAATTGATTAATCAAAATTACGTGCCATAGGGTCACTGATTAGTTGATTAGCAAATACCACTAATGCCCCAGCTCTAACAACTGGAGAATAAAATTTCTATATTGTTAGTTTATGGACTTAGGGTGAACCAAGTGTAAAGTTGACCAAGGTGATAGTTCTTGCTTGGACATCACCTTAAATATATGATAAGGTTACCATACTGTTGACTGATGTTGGTTGGAATATGTTATATATATTTATTGGTTTTTAATGTTTATTAGTCTTTATCATAAAGATTATTTTCACATTGTTAGCTTACTTTTGGAATTTAGGCCTAGCCAAGTGAAACTTTTACACACAGTGTTGGTTAGAATATTCAATATATCTGCTTTTATTAATTTTATGTTTACTGTTTCATTATAATGATTTTTCTGTATTGTTAGGTTAGTCCTAAATCCATGTACTAAGCTAAGCCTCTTGAGCTGGCTGAACCTCGTAACATATTATTGGGTTTACAGGTAAAAATATTTAACAACGATGGTACCCATTTGATAAGACAATGTGTTCTAATCAGTATAAGTGAGATAGCTTGAACATATTTCAGAAGCTATTGTAAGGTATAAATTTTCTTGTTCTGATCAGAAATTAATATTAATTACAGTGTTGATTTCTTTATAAATGTAACTGGACAAAACTTGTGCTTGCTGTCCTGTTCCAAACATTTTCAACTGAAGCATACTACCTTTAAGTAGTAGTAAAAATTTAGAAAAAGTTTGTTTACTAAATGGTAGTGTTTATTGTTAATTTTAGAAATAGAATGCACGTGTTTTTATAGAATGATATATATTTCAAAGAAATACATAGCTTATTATTATATTTTGTAATGTGGCTAAAGCTGGCTGAAACAAAGAAAGAAGATACAAGTGAAAATTAGCCATGCAGTTTTGTATAGAAACGACAAAAAAAAAAGACGGACATTGAGAAAAACAAGGAATTTGAAGATGTTTTTCCTTTCGATTACTATGTTAAGTTATTGTTACTGGTATGCTATGTTTTTTGTTTCTTTAAACATGGAAAAACGTATTCCATAACTAGTTTTACTCAATGATAGGGATGAGTAAACCTATCAAACAAAACATCTTGTACTTGTTTAGTCAAAAGTGTAGAGTTTATTTTTTTTTCAGTTGCAAATAAATCATTGTACTTCACTGTTTAACATATATCATTATGTGTGTCTGTTTATAAAGGAAATGAAATAAGTATGGGTAAATAAATGCTAAAGCAACTAAAGAAATACTTTCTAGTGTTTAATATTCCTTTACTAGACAAGTTCGATTATCTAACAACTTTTTACAGTCATTTGATACACGAGTAATTACTGTGTTGATAGGCGTATTTTAACCCTCTCACTATGGCCAGGTCAAAGTGTGCATGTCACAACTTCTTAAAGAGTTACATTCAAAATTTAATTAAAGTAATTTATTATAAAGATATACAAATAAACTTGGCATTAAAACATAGTTAATAAACAAACTTTTAGTATTATACAAGTTTTAAGTTCTTAATTTTATAAGGAAATATATTAAAAAACCTTTAATCTCACCCTAGTATGAGAATTGTGACATTTGTTCTCTAGGTATCCCCTCTTCTCTAATTTATTTACTACCCCTCCAAGAAGTATGGAATTTAATTCAAATCACTCATTATAATATAGTTATTACTCAGACAAAGCATAATTTGTTATAGCCTTCAATCTTATTTGGTTACAGAACCATAAAATAGAAAAGCAGGCACAGGCACTCACCTGTCACATACTTTTTTTTTTTACAAATTGCAAATAGATCTCTGATGTTTAATACTATATTATTTACAACCAATAGAAAGCCAACATTTTAATATTTCAAATCACGTTGTTTTCTGTACAGGGATTTGTCTATTTCACTTCCAGTTCAACTCTTATTTGCAACGGGAAACACATCAACAAGCTTAGCTGAATTTTTAACTGCTCTTATCACATAGTTAGAAAGCCACAAAATTAATATAGTTATAAGATATCATCTGCTTTTTATGTGTTGTTAGGTGCATTATTTAATTAAGTAAAAAAGTATTTATTGTAGTAGTACCATTAGTATAAAAAGTAGGGTTAAGTTTCATTAACACTTGACAGCAAAAAAAAAAGAAGACCCAGTTAAGTATTATATTTCTTGCTTTTTGTGTGTATTCTTTACTTATTATTATAAAAACAACTAAAACTTATTAAGTAAGATAAAAAAATTTTCATGAGGTATGCTCGTGAGCAGCTCACACATTACATAATTTGATAGGGTAATTAATGTGAGATAAGTGGTTGCTAAGTGATTTACAACTTGTGTGGCAGGATTGTTAGTTAGACAGGGTTCAAAGGGCAATAAAATGTAAGTAGTAGAAGCTGTTGTATACTGTTACTAGCTTTAAGCTATTTAGGATAAACAATTGTGGTTTCCCTGTTACAAATTGAAAAAAGCATAATTTAGAATTATTTTATGGTGGTTATGAGGTTGGTCAAATTGACCAACCCTGTAAAGAGTTAGGGTAGAGAAAATAACAGATAAAATATAAAGTTTTACTGAAAAAAAGACAAAAACATTTGGAAATTATATAGTATTATGCAAATGAAATTTGACAATTTCAAGATGAAGAAAGTATTTTGAATTTTAATATAAAAATCACTTGGAGCAGTCAACATTTTGACTCCATATATTCATGGAGAAATTTTTAATAAAAATTCTGATTTTTTTGTCTATAAAATACTTGTAATGCTTACTGAAAACTAGCAAAATTTCATACACAAAACATAATAGTGGCTGGAGACGGCTTAAATGGGTAATGAAGAAAAACTTTAATATAAGTTTAACATGACAGCAAATGTACAACGTTTCGACAAAGGTTTTTTATCACCCGATGGTGTCAAAACCTTTTCGGAAAGGTTTTCATTTTCCTTTCTGTTTA